GAGGGTCTTTGCATGGTCTCAGGCCTGGGTAGGATGAACACCCCCTCACCCAGCAGTCACCCCAGCAGGACAGGCGGGAGCGGGGCTGTCACAGGGTGTGACAAGGGGACAATCCCAGGGTCAGGAGCAGCAGGAGGGCTGCAGGGGAAGCTCGGGCCCAGGTGGGCTGCCCAGCGCTTGTTTTTCCCCGGTGTGGGGATGCTGAGCCATCTGCAGGAGGAGGAAACGCTATAAAAAGGCCGGGGAGCTCGGAGGGACGTCCTGGCAGGAAGCAGCTTGAGTGGCCAGCCCGGGGCTCAACAGGCTTTTCCTGCCTTGCAGCAAATCTCCCAGCTGCTCTCGCTGCTGCACCAGGGCCAGTTCCAGCCCAAAACAAACTACAGGGGAAACAAGTACACGGCCAAGAACGGCAGCAGGTAAGGCTGGCTCCCAGCACTTCCCTTCCCCACGCCCCTTTCCCCTGCCCCAGCCCCATCAGGCTAAAACCTCCGAGGGCAGGGACACACAAAGAAAAGCCTCATGTCCTGAGTTTGGAGGTTCTCCCTTCAGGGGCAGGTTGTGCTTCTCAGTGGTATCCAGCTGCTTTTTGCCTCCTTCCTGGGGTACCTTTGGCAGGTCCCTCCATACTTACCTGAGCTCTTCCATGGCCATGAGCCATCCCTTGCCAAGAACTCTGATGGTTCTGGGTGCTCAGGAGCACAGAGGGGCCCAGCTCTGGAGGCAGCAGCATAAGGATGAGTGTTGTCATGGCTCTGGTAACTTTCTTAGTGCCTGCCAACATGAGTTTGGGACACCTGACCCTGTGCCAGGGGGCAGATGAGTGAGGAACTGCAGCAGGGCTGGAGGCACTGAGATATCCCAGCTGTGTGCCAAAGATATCTCCAAACTTCATGGTGTTCCCATTAAATTATGCTGTGTGCTCTAGATGCACACTGCTGAGGATGCTGAGTCTTCATCACTGCCTTGCCATGTTCCCCTGTCCCCACCTGGCCAGGCCATGGGCAGACACAGCTTTCTCCACCTTTCTCACCTGCAGCTGCAGAGGATGGGAAGGGAGAGAGAGCAGCTCCAGGGTATCTGGGGTGCTCCTCACCTGGTCCTGCAGGGGAAAGCTCCTCTGAATTAATGGGGAGGAGCCAGCAAGTCCCTGTTTGCTCAGGATATGCCCCTAGACCCCTGGAAATGTTCCAGACCAGGTTGGATATGGGGTTGGAGCAAGCTGGCATTATGGAGGGTGTCCCTGCCCGTGGCAGGGGGTGGAATGAGATGGGCTTTAAGGTCCCTTCCAACCCTTCTGTGTTCTCTGATCTTGCTGCAGAAGGATAAAAACCCTTTCAGGCGAGAAATGTGGAGCAACTCCCCAAACCTCATTAACTGATGGGCACACAAAATGCCTTTGGTTCTGTGGGTGGTGCACAGGGAGGGTGCCCAGAGCTCCTCTCTGGGGCATTCTGGGGAGATAGAGACCCTTCCAAAGGCTCACTGGGGCTGAAGTGACCTGGGTGTGTGACCCCTGGCAGGGCTGCAGGGCTGGACACGGGGCTGGACACGGGGCTGGACACAGGGATGGACACAGGGATGGACACAGACTGCCTGAGCACCAAGGACAGCGGGCACGGCGAGAGCGAGGCCGGCGACCGCGACTGCGACAGCGCCTTCGAGCTCTCCGTGCAGCAGCTCGTGGGAGAGGAGCTGGAGACCCTCCTGGAGCCACAGGCAGGTGAGGTGACCTCGCTGCTGGGACAGGCTGGGGCTGGGGGGGGGCTGCAGCAGTGGGATATCCTCAGGTAACCCACACTAACCCCATCCTGCAGCAGCCAGGGCACGTCGCACCTCCCAGAGAGGCTCTGGCAGGGGCAGTGCTTGGGGCAGCACATCTGGGCCATGCCAGGCTTTTGGTAGCAGGCCAAGGGACTTGCTGAGCTTCACATTGGATCTTTCCATGTGTTTATGGCTGCTCTTCCCTCCCATGGACATGTGAGCTTGGCCTCTGTCATTGCTGAGGGGTGAGGGCCAGTTGCACATTGCAGCTGGTGAGCTGCTTCCCATGCTGGCCTGAGCCCTCCCTTCGTGGTCTCCTGGTCTGTGCAGACTGAGAAGGGTGGACACTTGTCCTTGTCAAACCCCTCAAGATGTTATCTACCCTCAGAGCCCCTCTGGATCCTCCTTCCTCTTCATCTCCTGTGACCAACCTGCTGCTAATTTTATCTTTTTTGAGATGTGTGACCAGAATTGTTGTGCAGTGTTTAGGATCCACTGGGGGTACAAGGAGGTTTTCTGGTGTGTTCCTAATTCCTGTCCTGCCCAAGCTCCACGCTGAGCCTTGTTTGTTGTGGCTCCCAAATCCCTCCTCTGCGTGGAGGGAGAGCCATCAACACATGACAGGTTGTTGTTCCCTGTGACAATTATCTGACAGTTGGTGACACAGAAATTCACCAGCCACATTTTGCTCATGGCAGTCAGCATTATCAGGTCCTTCAGCAACCCTCTGCTTTTGGGTGTTTTAGTGGAGTCAACACCAACATTGTCCCCTTGCCATATCATTTATCACTGTGTTGAGCAGATACTCTGGGACTCTGCTAATGACCTCCCTTGGTGAGGAAGATTAATTATGCCTACCCTCACTTCCCAGCTTTTAACACATATTAGTCCCTACAGAACCTGGCTGTAAATTCAGGCACAGCTCAGGTCCCCTGCAAGCCTTGCTGGTGCTGTTCCATCAGCTCAGGTGACCTCTGCCTTCACAGAATTGAATTCTGGAATGGTTTGAGTTGGAAGGGACTCAAACCCATCCAGTTCCACCTGGGACCTCCCACTGTCCCAGGCTGCTCCAAGCCCCAATGTCCAACCTGGCCTTGGGCACTTCCAGGGATCCAGGGGCAGCCACAGCTGCTCTGGGCACCCTGTGCCAGGGCCTGCACACCCTCACAGGGAACAATTCTTTCTCAATATCCCGTCCATCCCTGCGCTCTGGGAAGCCATTCCCTGTGTCCTGGCACTCCAGACCCTTGTCCAGAGCCATCCAGGACTCTCCATGCAGCCCTTCCAAATTTCCAGAGCACAATTCCCCATGTGACAATGTCAGGTGGTTCCTCTGGGAGCAGCAGCTCCATGGCTCTCTCTGCTGAGCCTTGCACAGAAGGATTTCTCTGAATCTGCCTGGGCTGGGTTCACCTTCACATACTTAAAAACTCCTGTCACCATTTCCACCTCCCTTCCCTCTGATCCTGCATTCATTTGAAGCAGTAGTTAATGAACAGCAGCTAATAAACCAGGCAATTTCATAACTGAGTTCCTCTGGCACTCCGGGGTGAATACCATCTGGGCCTGACATTTTCTACATGTTCCTTTTATTGATTTGTTCTAAAAATCTCCTCTCTTGGCATTTCAATTTGAAAGAGTTGGGCTGACTCATGTCCTGTAGCAGAAATTTCATTGTGGAGCCTCTGTGCTCCTCCACAGAAGAGAAACTCACAGAGCTTTGCTGCTGGGGTGGTTTGAATTCCAGAGCTGGGCATTTTTGGTGCTGAAGGTAGAACCTGCTGCTTCTCCCCCTTTGCCTCCCTGCTCTTTTATTCCAGTAAGGAGCTAACAAAGGAAAGGCTGAGACTTAAAAGTTTCCTTGGGTTCTGAGGTCCTGCAGCCAAGAGCTGGGAGCCAAGAGGAGCCCAGCTCCATCCCAGGTGCACTGACATGCCCTGATCCCAGAAAAGGGACTGGGGGAGCTGCCCAGCAGCTCTGAATCCAGTCCTGCCCACACAGGGATGGAAAATCAGAGCTATGGTGAGGCTGATCCATGAAGTGCCATCTCCCATCATCCTTGGATCTGACAGGACAATCATCCTTTTGGCCAAAGTCCTGGGATTCCATATGATCATTAGGGCTGGAAAAGCCCCCCCAGACCATTGTTCCCCAGCACTGCCATGTCCACCAGTGACCCATGTCCCCAGTGCCACATCCCCATTGCTGGGATGATGATTCCACCAATTAATTCCCTGGGCAGCTCCATGCCAGCCTGGAATGCTGAGGCTGTGTGGATTCCTGCTGGCCATGCCTAGAGGCTGATCTGTTCCAGGGCTGCAAACCTTCCTCAGGAGCCCAGAACTGCAAACCTTCCCCAGGAGCCCAGAGCTGCAAACCTTCCCCAGGAGCCAAGAGCTGTCCCAGGAGCCCAGAGCTGCAAACCTTCCTCAGGAGCCCAGAGCTGCCCCAGGAGCCCAGACCTTCCCCAGGAGCCCAGACCTTCCCCAGGAGCCCAAGCTGTCCCAGGAGCCCAGAGCTGCCTGCACAGACGAGCGCAGCCACCGGAGCTGCCGGGCTCCTTCCTCCTCTCCCAGACACAAACAGAGCCATGGACTTGCATCCTGAGAGGGAGGAAGGAAGCACTGCTGGTGCTCAGGAGCATCCTAACAGCTGGCTGAGGCTGGCTGGGCCTTTGTGCTGTTCCCAGCGGGGGGACTGCAATCCCGGGCAGCTCTGGGATTGTTGATGTTGTGGGATGAACTCGCAGCACCGTCTGTTAGCTCTGATCCCCCAGCAGCCCAGCACAGCACTCCCAGCAGCAGATGAGAGATAGAACTTTATGGATGATAAAAACAACCCCTGCTCCCCAAACACCATTAAAACAAGGCAGTAAAGAGTTATTGGTCAAATTAAACATACCTAATTATGAGGTTTTCATGGCCATGGGAGTGTCAGCCCAGCTCTCCCTGCAGAGAGCAGACCAGTTGTGCCCTGCTCCAGAGCTGAGGCAGCCAAATATTCAGGGAATGAGGTGGCTTCTTGCAGACTGGGGAGGAGAAAACTGCATATTTTACAGCAAAACCTGCAGCACACTTGGGTGGTGTCTCAAGGAGCAGTCACTGCAACTCAAATACTAAGATTGCAGAAAGAAACCCTGGATGTGAAGCAACACAAAAGAATTTTGGGACTCCAGCTGAAACAAAAATCTAAGGGATGTACCTGCCCTTTTCTGCTTACCAGGCTGGAGTCCCAGCTCTCTCCCCCAGCCCATGCCAGGGCAGTTGTTTTCCAGAGAAAAAGGAGGAATTGCTTGGCTGGCTGAGGGAGGAGCCTTGTCTCAGCCACTGAGTGCAGATCCCAGGTCCCAGCTGTGGCAGGGTATTGTCCACCCTCTGGAATTAGCAGGAAAACAGCATTGGAATGGGGACCCTCCTTTCAGATGCCGTTTTTTAGTCAGAGCTACACAATTATTACTACAGTGACACCAGCCCTTGCCACCCTGTGACTGCTGGGTTTAGTTACCAGTGAGGTTTTGCTGCTCCCAACACCTTCCCTAAACTGGCTGGTTGCTCTGAACTCCCCTGAGGTTCTGGGATGTGCTTTGGGAAGGAACAATGAGGGGCTGGAATGCAGCCTCTGTGCACCACAGCACGGACTCTTGTTTACCAGAGACCTCAAAAAACAAGAATCCCTGTTCCCCTTCCTGCTGTCTGACGAGGAAGCTATTCCAGGCTCTCCTTGCTATGGGGTCCTTCCTTTATTTTCCAGGAGATGTTTATTCATGGACATCTATAATCACTTCTTCTCTTGCCAACACTATTTTAAGCATAAAGATTTCCTCTGCTGGCGCATATCTCCTCAGACTAATGACAGGTTGCAGTCAGATCCCTGGAGAGCACTTGCTTCCTTAGGAGCAGCAACCCCCAGCTCTTGGGGTCTCCATTGTGTCAGCCTGGATCACTCCTGGTTTCATCTCCAGAGTTTTCCCTGCTGGTGTGGTTTCAGCTCCCTCTCCCACAGATGGATAATCAGATTTGTGTGTAATTCCCCTAATCAGACCCAGTAACAATCCACCCTGGCTGTGCCTCCCTGCCAGCAGGGAATACCCTGAGTCCTCTGTGTGATTCCAGTTGCCCATTGTGGGCCACAATCAAATTACTGCTGCACTAACGAGCCTGCCCCAGCCCCCAGCCCAGGCTCCCCCTGCTCCTCAGCTGTTTCCAATCGAGGAACAACTACTTTAGAGCTCAATTGTTCAGTCCCAGTCTCCAACCATCCAGCTGTGCATTTTATAATCCAGAATTTCATTCTGGTGTTATTGTTTTCACAGTAACCCATTTCTTTTCGGTCTCAATCTGCCTCCTTAGCAGCAAATTCCCACCCTGGAGTGACCCTGAAGGGAAGCCCACTATCTTTGTGTCCAACACTTCCCCCTGGAAAGCTTTTCATTGTCTGCTCCCCTTCAGCCAGTCCTGAACCCTCCCTCTCTCAGGCTTTGCTAACAATTTAGTGAAGTGCCAATTGAGACTGCAACAAATGAGAATGCACAGTGATTCTAATGGCTATTATATTAAAATGGCTATTATATATTATATTAAAAACAAAACAAAACCCCCAATAGTTTCAAACCAGTTCTATTGTGGCTTTTTTTTAGCTGCTGGTTTGCATGGTGTCACCGGCGATCTGTTTACCATCATGCCTCTCGGCTGATTTTAGATATTTTCATTTATCAATATTTTTATCAATCTATTTCCCCCCTCTTCTCTTCTCTGCTGTGCTGTCCCTCCCCAGAGCTGGCCCTCAAGAGGCTGACAGCTGCAGACCCAGAGTGGGTGGCCCGGCTGTCCCTGCCCCTCACCGGCAGCTACAAGGACAACGTCTTCTGCCCCGACTCGCCGCGCTCCCCCGAGGATGAGGAGGCTGCAAGGCAGGAGACACCGAGGACCTTTGAGACCTTTGGCAAAGGTGCTGGGGCTGACCCTGGTGGCAGCGGGACGAGGCTGGCCAGCACGTTCCTGTCGGAGATGAGCACCCTGTTTGAGATGATCCTGTCCCAGAAGGTGCAGGTGCACAGCGAGGCGGGCGCGGGGCTGCTGCGGCAGCTGTCGGCCCGCGGGCACGGCCTCGGCCTGGGGGATGCTGCTCCAGGGCTGTAGCAGCTCTGTGGCTGTGGCAGGGAGAGAACAGTCAGAGATTTGGGGTCCCCAGCCCCAGCAGGGTCACTGTATGACCCATGCCCAGACAGGTGTATTCCTTCCTTCGTCTCGCCCCATCGAATTTCTCCACAACTGATTTCACCTTTAGTTCCCCTCCAGCTGCCTGTCCTTGCCTTCCTCCTCTCCCACCCTGCTCTCCCAATGCTCTGCCAGCCTCCCATCCCACCCAGCAGCAGGAGGGCCTTTCCTCCCAGGACAGGCCCAGGCAAGGGGGTTGTGAGAACAACCACAGCACAGTGAGATACATCCATGTGATCACAGACTGTGAAAATACCTGTCACGGACACTGCTGCAGCTGGGCTCCAGGGTTTCAGTTATTTAAATAAAACTGGTTTTTTCTAACACTACCCTCTCTGTCAGCAGTGGAGCTGACATAATGTATGTGCAGAAAGCCTGAAGTGGCAGCTGGGGAAGGGGAGATGAGCCTGTTGTCTCCCATGGGTCCTTCCAGCTTCTCTGGTTCTGCCACTGGGAAGCTGGCATTTTTTAAAAGCCCCCCAAATCAGCACTGGCATCTCTCCTATGGCTGCTCCAAATGCCCATCACTTCCTTCTCCATAAGGAGTGGATGTGGCACTCAGTGCTCTGAGCTGGGTGACAAGGTGAGGATCAATCACAGGTTGGACTTGATGTTCTCAGAGGTCTTTTCCAGCCCTAATGATTCCATTCTATTCTGTTCTCTCCTTTGAGGCCATTGGATTTTGGAGCACAGTCCTTATCCAAAAGCAGACACCAGATGGCTGGAGTCTGCCAAAGGTAACCTGGGAAAAAGGAAGTGTGAAAACACTGTTTTGAAATATTCAGTCACAAGCTTCACCCTTTTTATGGGTTTTCACTTTGATCTGTCAGTCTGGGAGCTGTAAGACAGTTTGGGGATAATAGCATGGGTGGGGAAACCAAGGTATTGGTGACAAAGGAAGAAGCACACAGGTGTCTGTGCCTCTGCACTCCTGGAGAAGGGAAGGGTGGTGCTGACCCACGGGCTCAAGCAGCAGTGTGGGGATGGCAGGGAAGGGCTTCTGGGCTCTCCTGGACCACCTCAGGTACCCTACCCCTGTTCTTTTCCATGTGCCTGGAGGTGACATTCCCAGCTTCAGCTGTGTACACACCCAAGCCACAGCACCAGACCAAACACAGAGCATTTAAAGCAGAGCAAATGAGAAAGTTACCTCTTTCTGTTGCTCTTGGGGCTAAATGACAAGAACAATAGAATGAGATTTCCCCAGGTGGACTTTTTAATATCCAAAATGTTGTTTTATTTCCAGTCTCCAAAATGCTTGTACAGATGAGCCCATGTCTGGCATCCATCCATGGATGGGTTTGGCCTGGCCAGCTTGTGCTGCTGCTCTGCTAACACAAATCTCTTGCTGGTTTGTTTTACAAACAAAACAGGTTCTTGCACCAAAACAATGTCAGAGAGCCAGATTCTAACTGAGATGCAGCTGTGCAAACCATGAGGGAGGCATTTGTGCCTGAGCCCTGTGGGATTCCTCTGCAGCTTGGGAGCACAGGCAGAGGGACAAACAGCCAGCACAACCTCACATCTCCCTCTGCAAAGTTGCTTTGATGTCCCTGTCAGAGGAAAGTCCTTACACAAAAATACCTAATAACAAGCAGGTTTAAAAGGAGACCAATTCCTCCCTCTTGCTTCAATTTCCTGATTGTGCAAACTGCTTTCAGCCCCCCCAGCCCCTCTCCCATCCTGAGCGATGCGTAAGCGCGCTCTGGATTATCACAGCATAGGAAATCCACCCCAGGAATTTCCTGCTCCTTGTATCCTGCTTGATAAAGGAAATGGTCTAAGAAAGTTTGGTCTGAGCAGAAGGAGAGAGCAGACCAGAAGAACAATCAGATGTGTGGAGGGCTGGCCGTGCCCCTCCCTTGCTGCATGGAGAAGTTCAGGATGGGGCCATTGCCTTTGTTTTGCAGAGCCTGATCTACACAGAGCACCAGGGCCACAGGAAGCTGGGCAGCTTGCACAGATGCCCTTGAACCAGTTTAAACTGGTGTGAACAAATGCCTTTTTCCGGATTCAGCTGCCCCAGTGGAGGAAATTATCACACCAGCTGCCTGCTGCTGCTGCCTGCCAGCGGTGCCTTCCCGCTGGGAGCATCCCTTATCCACTCTGCTGAAAATGAGCTGGTGTGCTCAGCAAACAGGGACACGATGGGTTTCGAAGCAAACCTTGCTCATTGTGTCTCAGAGAGGTGGGAGCAGCTCCCTGCCAGGGCTGCAGGAGCAGGAGTGGGGACAGAAGGACACTGACATGGTGCAGGATGGCTGGGGACAGCTGTCACCTCACTGCTACAGGTGGATCTGTCACATCCCATAAAAAACTCTGCCCAGTGATGACAATTTCCTCTCTTGCTTGCCCAGGTCTGAAAGATTAAACTGCCATAATGGCAACACAGAGCCAGCCCACACTGTGCTGGTAGCAGGGGCACTGTGGGGACTTGCTTTGGAGAGAGAGAAAATTGCCTCAGAGGGTGTGGCCAGGACAATCCCAGGGTTAGTTGTCACCATCCCCATCTGGTGGCTTGTAAACCTCCCTGGGGGACCATGAGCAAGACAGGCAGGGCTACTGGAATTAGAACCCCAGATCACACCACTGTGGTGCAGAACCACAGAATGGTTTGGACTGGAAGGACCTTAAAGCTCATCTTGTTCCACCCCTGCCATGGCAGGGACACCTTCCACTATCCCAGATTGGTCCAACCCTGTCCAACCTGGCCTTGGACAATTTCAGAGATCCAGGAGCAGCCACAGCTTGGCTCTAATACAGAAATGCAGGTGCAGAAGCAACATCCCTGTGTGGAAGGTAGATTACTTGACGGTGCAGGAGATATCACAAGATTTATTCTCAAAGCTCAGGTATTTAAAAATGCCTCCTGTTCCATGAACAGAGAGCTTTCTCTTTCCTTTCACTGCCAGCCTGGTTCCAGCCCACACCAAGGGCTGCCTTGCCCTCTGCCTGCTGGTGTCACTCGCTGCCAGCAGTGCTGGGGCTCCCAGCCCTGCAGCTCCAGTGGCACTGTCCTGGCTCTGAAGGCACAGCTCCAGCCTGCACTGCTCAGCAGCATCACGTGCAGTGTGCCTGTGCTCCAGGAGTGGGGCAGGGGGAGGCCACTCTGTCCTGGCTGGCTGCTGTGCAGGCCTGCAGACACAGGCTCAATAGTCCAGAAATCAGGGCTGGAGGAGGAGGCTCTTAATCCTGAAGGGAATGGATGCTCTGTGTGCACATCTGAAAGTACAGAAAAACAAGGTGTTAATGACATTGGCAAAGGCTGGGCTTGATCATACAACCATAGAATCACAGAATACCCTGAGCTGGAAAGGACTCTTAAGGATCATCAAGTCCAACTCCTGCACAGACACCCCAACAATCCCACCCTGTGCCTGAGAGCATTGATTAAATGCTTCTTGAACTCAGACAGGTTTGGTGCTGTACCCACTGCCCTGGGGAGCTTGTTCCACTGCTCAACCACTCTCTGAGTGAAAAACCTTTTCCTGGTATCCAACCTGAACCTCCCTTGACACAGCTCCAGCCAATCCTTCAGATCCTGTCATAGGGAGCAGATACTGGAGCCCTCTGCTGCCCCTCAGGAGGACACTGAAACCCACAATGAGCTCTGCCCTCAGTCTCCTCCACTCCAGCTGAACAAACCAAGTGCCCTCAGCTGCTCCTCTCAAGGCTTCCCCTCCAGACCCTTCCTCATCCTCATGGCCTCCTTTGGACATTTTTTAATGGTTTAATTCCTTTTTTATATTGTGGTGCCCAAAACTGCCTGCAGGACTGGAGGTGAGGCTGCCCCAGTGCAGAGCAGAGCAGGACAATGTCCTCCTGGCCCAGCTGGTGTCCCCCAGGGCACAGTTGGTCTTTCCAACAGAAGTGATTCAGTGACCCATCATACTGTGGGAACAGCTTCTCCAGCTGGTCTGGAAAGAACCGAGGAGGAAAAGCGGCGCCTCCCCTTCAGCACAAAGCACTCCTTTGTGCCGTGGCCCTGTGGGAGCCTCCTGTGGCAATCCAGGCCCCACCTGCCCATGCAGTGCCCCTTGCCCTGGTACCTTGCAGCTCCTGCTGCCATGCCTGCAGCCTGTCCCGGGCCTGCCTGTTCCCCATGGCCGCCGACTGCCGGTAGTGCCTCAGCGCCTCCGCCAGGTCCCGCTGCACTCCCAGGCCCTGCTCGTAGCAAACGCCCACGTGGAACCTGCTCTGGGCATCCTGGCACAGCAATCACAGCAAAGGAAACAGGGTTTTAGCACCTTCTTCAGAGTTTTCTTTTTGGTCACCTTGCTAAGTTTACTGCTCCATCCCCCAGGCTCTGTCTTCAGTAGTTTAGTCCCCTGGAGAGAAGCATAATGTGTGGCTCTGCTCCTTCCTATCCCTTTCCAATTAAATTCACTGATTTCCCTTCAACACCCAGGGCTGTGGCAGGGGAACAAAGGAGCAGCTGGCTCTGCAGAGCATCCCAGTTGTCTCAGAGGTCAGAGCTGAGGTGCCTTGGGCAGCAGTGACTGCGCCACATCCTGATCCCACCCAAACTCCGAGCACGCCCTGAGACTGCCCTAAGAGAGTTCAAGCCCAAGTCTTGTAAAAACATCACAAATGGCACAGAGGTACTTGCTGCCAAGGGTTGGGAAATTCCCCTTTAACACAAGAGTGCAGCACTCTCCTGCTCAGCCTCACCTCATTCTATTCCAAAAGAAATCTCAGGCAGCAGAAATGAAGTAAATGAAGCAAATATGCACTAGAGAAAAAGCACCTGAACCACTCGGATATATGTAACTGCTGGGAACAAACTGGAAAGCAAAGGTTGGCACTGCAGTGAAGCCAAATCCAAACCCATGACATGTTTATGTGTCAGCTGTGCATTTTATCCTTGAGATCCAATGGGAGAGAAAGGGTCTCAGAGAGCAGGAAAGCAGGATGACACTCCTGAAGACATTAAAAAGACTGCACAGACTTGTGGTCACACAGACCTTTCCAGCAACAAAGTCAGCAGCACAGCCTGAAGAGTGTGACTGCCAGAAACATGATCTAAACAAGGCTTTCCAAAAAAAAAAAAAAGAAGAAACAGAAAAAAACCCCAAGTAAGTAGCAAGTTTTAATAAAGCCACTAGAAAAGAACATATTGCAAGTGTTGCTGTCTAGGATGTAGCTGGTAGAGGCAAGTGAAAAACTCAGTGAGTGGGTGCTTTGCAAAATGTTGCAAGTCTCAGCTTATGACAGCAATAAACTCCTTTAGAGATGAGATAAACACGTTGAAGGATTGGCACTTCAGCTGTGACAAGAGATAGGGTTCAATCAGGAGAGCTGCACCACCATCTCTCACAGGATGAACACCTCAGGGCCAAGCCTGGGGAGAGCCCCAAATTAGCAGGGCAGGAGTGACTGACACCCCTGGACATCTGCAGGTCAGGCCCAGTTCTCCAACAGAACTCTTTATTAGGGGTTTATGTTCTGTGGCTGCATGTAGGAAATCAGGGAGGATAAAAAGTGGGAAACAAAGTAGAACACAGTTCTTGTGTTGGAAAAACACTTGTCAGAGTTCCCAGCTCAGCTCTAGCAGAGAGAAAAACCAGAGAAACGCTGAATGTGTGACTTTTTGTGCTGTTTTCCTTTTTCTGGATTTGTACTAAACTATGCTGCCTTTGCTCCATCCATGCCAAGAGTTCTTTCAGCCAACTAAACATCAATTCCAGCTGCAGGCTAATGGGAAGTGAACCTGTCCATGGAGCCCTCCTCCCAGGAAAATGGGGACATCCCATCCCAGGGAGCCACCACCAACCTGCCCTCAAGGCTGAGCCCCTGAAGCATCCACAGCATCAGAGCATGGGGAAGGATGCTCAGGGTCTGAAACTCTGACCAAAACATGCCAGGGGTGCACCTGAGGACCTGCAGTTACCTGCCAGATTTTGTGTTGTTAAGGCATTACCAGTAAATGCCAATCATCTGTTTAATGGGATAACTCAATGTGATGTTGTTCAGCATAAAGCTCTGACTCCAGGCTGGAAAAAAGGAGCCAAGGATGAAGCTTAGGAGAGATCTTTAGCAGATTTAGAACTAAATGCTGTGTACTGTGATGTGTGAGCTGCTTGTCACTTGCTGTGGCAAGTCAGGCCTTGTCCCAGCACACTGAGAGTGTCTCCATGCTGGAAAAAGGGTGAAAACCCAAGTGGCAAAGTTTACAATGATGTAAAAATGACCATTCAAAATGGTCAAACTTACTATGAAGAATTAATTAAAGATCTCACACACCTAAGGAATGGGCAACACAATCACGAAGGAAACAGTGCTGCCAAATGCAAAGTAGTGCTGATAGGAAGAAATTTGGGTATCACACTGTGACAGTTCCCTGAGACCATCTCATCAGTGCTCAGTGCCAGGCAAAGGGCAAGCAGGGCTAGGAATTATTGGAAGGGAATGCAGAACAAAGCAGAGGAGCTCATTATGTGAGATCCATGGCATACCTCCATCCTGAGTCCACTTTTAGTCCAAGCATCTTAAAATGGTCAAAGGAGAATTAGAAAAATAGACAGAAGACTGACAAGCAAAGTAGAACAGCTTAACTACATGGAGGCACAAACTAAACCAGCACTGCAGCCTGCAAAAGAAATGACTCAGAGAGGACACACTAAAGGGCACCACAACCACAACTATTAGCCAGCAGAAGAGGCAATAGCTGTTCATTATTTTCCATTGCACAAAAGCTGTGGGAACTGCAGTTAAAATGAACAAGTTCTTCAGGAAAAAAAAAAAAAAAAAACTGGCCATTACAATGCAGCTGAAAACAAGGGGACAATGGCAAGAAACAGAATTGTGGGATGCAGAAAGCTGGCTGCAAGACATGGGATCCACATTTGTGTTCCTCTAAATGCTGGTGGGGGTTCAGGAGAGTGCTGTCCCCACACTGTGGCACTGCCCTTCAAGAAAAAGAAGCCTGGGCCACTTGGGGAAAGTGCATGCAATAAGATTCTTGGGGATCTAACATGAGCTGTGAAGAGAAACAGCAAAAATGGGGGAAGGCTGAATGGAGATTCAAGTGTTTCAGTATGTTAAAGGTGCTGAATTTAAATATAAATCCAGAAACAGTCTTTTCATCCTCTCTATAAAAGGAGAGAAACAAAGGGCCAATTTTGAAGAACGGATTTGAGGTAAACACAATGAAGTTCTCCATGTGGTGCAGTAGTGAAAGATTTTGACTGAAGAGGGTGTAGATGCTCCATAGTGGGAAAGCTGCACAATGCTGGAGGCTGGATACAGGCCCTGGTGCTGTAGGAACTCCTGCAGCCCAACAGGGCTGTCTCTGCAGGGTCTGTGCCCAGGGCCTGTCTCCTCCCCAAGAGGCACCAAGGCTCCACTCTGTCCCTTCACACTGGGCAGTAAAATCCTGACACTCCCGTTTCCAAGAAATCCTGAAATCCTCCACCTGCAGGTCCCAAGCTGAGGACAATCCCTGGCAGAA